AGCCGTAGCTGCGAAGATATACACTGGGCTTAGAGCTCAAGGTGATTATAATCTTCCAAAACATTGCGATAACAATGAAGTGCTTAAAGCTCTTTGTGCTGAAGCTGGTTGGGTTGTTGAAGAAGACGGTACTACCTATCGCAAGGTGAGCTTTTCACCGATTTTTCCAGATCTGATCTGAAATCTGAAATTCGCCGGTTTCAATTGCGTTTTCGAATCTGGGTTTCTCAGTATTGGAAAATGGAAAGTAGATTTAGATAAGATTGTTGAACATGTTCTATATATGGATCTAGATTTCTCAAAGCGAATTCATGGTTTTTCTTACTAATTAAGGAGTCTTTTTAATCAGATTTAGAAGACTTTCTATGACTTAATGGTTGCTAGGCTTAGAGCTAAAAATGGGAATTGTTATAGTTGAGATCTCTATTCAAATCTTCAACAAGACAACAATTGTAATTCAGTATGGTCTACTTCTTGAGCTACTAGTATGCTATTGTCTTAGTCTTTAATCTATGATACTTGATCCAAAGTCTATGCATTGTTTCCTTACGTTGGCTATTGTTTGATTTTGAGCATCAGGGATGCAGGCCTTTACATGGTGAGATAGGTGGATCGTCGTCCCGAGTTACTCCATACACATCCCAAAACCAAAGCCCTCTTTCTTCGGCTTTTCAAAGTCCTATCCCTTCTTACCAAGTCAGCCCGTCTTCTTCATCTTTTCCGAGTCCTTCTCGTGGTGAACCGAATAACAACATCTCCACATTCTTCCCATTCCTCAGAAATGGTGGCATTCCTTCTTCTCTTCCTTCCCTCAGAATCTCAAACAGTTGTCCTGTCACCCCGCCGGTCTCATCCCCGACTTCTAAGAACCCTAAACCCTTGCCTAATTGGGAATCCATTGCTAAGCAATCCATGGACATTGCTAAACAATCAATGGCGTCTTTTAACTATCCTTTCTATGCGGTTTCTGCGCCTGCTAGTCCGACACATCGCCAGTTTCATACCCCGGCTACAATACCTGAATGTGATGAGTCTGACTCTTCCACTGTTGACTCTGGTCACTGGATAAGTTTTCAGAAGTTTGCACAACAACAGCCATTCACTGGCTCTATGGTACCAACTTCTCCAACCTTCAATCTCGTGAAACCCCCTGCGCCTCAGCAGATGTCTCCGAATACTGCTGCGTTCCAAGAGATTGGTCAAAGCTCTGAATTTAAATTCGAGAATAGCCAAGTAAAACCATGGGAAGGAGAGAGGATACATGATGTGGGTATGGAGGATCTGGAGCTTACACTTGGAAATGGAAAGGCTCGTGGTTGACTTTGAACAACTCTCAAACTCGTGCGGGATGTTGATTGCATATGGAAGCTGTTCTTCACGAGTTTCCTCTTCCTCTTCTACTTCCAGCCAGGTATCTGGATCTTTATGGAATCTCTTATGTTCTTCACTTACTATCCTAATGTGCGGCACAAAGCCTTCTCCATGGAAAGCATTGGAGTATTAGTGTCGTCGTTCAATTCATGAATTTGGTCTTAAAAGCATTGTTTGTAGATAAATGTATGATTTTCTGTTCCCGTACATTAATTAGTGGCTTGATACTGTTTTGTGTCTTGTCTTGTCTTGTCAAATTGCTTAGTCAAGCACTATGTCTTAAAGCTAGCCCATTCTGCCTCTTAGCATCAAGATCCAAAATTTACAGGACATGCTTTTACAAAATGTTAAATTGTTTTATTTCCTTGCATTTTAAATCTTTTTGTCGTAAGCTAATCCATCATCATCTTCTAGTTAGACAAAGCTAGCTAGAAGAAAAGCACAACCAATGAACACAACTAGCTACAAATGCTACATGAATACAAACTCTGGTCATCATCTTCTTTTGCTGATCAAACAAGTAATGGAGAATGAAGATCCAGTTCGGTCTCGGCCTTTGGGCTTTTCGGTTCGTTCTCAGTCTCAAGATTACATTCTTGGTATCTGAAGCAAGCTGTGAGATGATCATTCACTATACCAGAGACCTGCAAGAATGAATAAATAACAGTAGGACCAACGCAGCGAAACCCTCTCTGCATCATATCTTTGCTAATGTACTCTGCCTTTGGCGACTTAACCGGTACTTGACGACCATAACGGTACCCATTTCTTAATGGCTTGTGGTTCACAAATCTCCAACAGTAGTTGCTGAATGACCCAAATTCTTGCTTGACCTGTTTTCAATTTACAAACCAAAAAGCGGTTTCAATAAGTTTCCAACACACAATATTCCACAACTTCTTAGCAAAACACCTACCTTGAGAACCGATTTCGCGTTCTCTACGATTGCTCGCAGTTTCTGTTCGGATAAAATGAGACACCCATTTACTCTAAGAGACATCAACCTCTTCTCTGTGAATTGTGCTATAGCTGATGGATCAAAATCTTCAAATAGCTTCCTGCC